GAGAGAGAGAGAGAGAGAGAGAGAGAGAGAGAGAGAACGTTTATCACGTGGAGCGGTTTAAACATGTTAAGATATTGTTATAGTTATGTTCTCATTTGCTGTGTGCATGGGTGAGTGCATATTACTACCCAAGCACACCAAAGAACACACAGAAACATTCTCAGCTTTCCAGGAAGCATAATACACTGAAAGCAGCTGATTAAGCGCTCAAACACTAACAAACTGACAAGATCTTTCACTGTCTATAATAAATGGGTACCCATGCTAACCAGTAAGTAAGTATACTAAAGAGCTAATACAGCAGCTCTTGTTTCTCCCTGTTTACCATGCAGAACCAGCTCCGAACTTCCCGCCTGTACTGTGTCCATCCAACAAGGAGTGGAGGGTCTCCCAGGGGTATCACATCTCCGTCCTCTCTCTCGTCCCCATCCTTCCTCCCAATCCTGCCCCCTCCTCCTGTCCCCCCTCACTCCCCCCTCCCCCGTCCAGTCTTTGCCCCTCCACTCCCTTCCTCCTCATCTTGCTCCCCCTTCCCCCCTCCAAACCCTGCTCCTCCTCCCCCGACTCCTGTCCTCCCCTACCTCTCATCCAGTCGCTCCCCACCACTGTCCTTTCGCCCCCCTTCCGTCCTCCCCCCGGTCTCGTCCTCTCCCCTCCCCCCTCACCCGTCCAGTCTTCCAGCTCCCCCTACCAATCCCCCGCACCTCCTACCCCTGTCCCCCTCGTCCCTTCGCTCGTCCAGTCTCCCCCCCCTTCCCCCATACCCCCAACCAGTTCCACCCCTCCCACCCTACCACTCCCACTTTACCCTACCCCTCTCTCCCTACCCCTCCTCTCCCATCCTACCCGTCCCTCCTCTTGCCCCCCTCCTTGTACCCCCACCCCTCGCACTTTACTCATCTCTTCCTCCCGTCCCTCCCCTCCTCCTCCTGCCCCTTCCCGCCCCCCTCTTGTACCCCAACAACATGCGTACCCCAAGGAGCAACAGAAAGATCACTCAGCAAGAATTATCCACCCCGTGGTAGGGAAGAGAAGGCACCCGGGTAGCCGAGAGATCATGAAATAAATATCTCTTCCTCGGCCGGCCGCTCCAGAAGCTGGCATGAATATTCCAGAACCTATCTCCAGGGAGCATCGAGCTTCCCTCTAACTGCTGGCACCCGTTTAGCAGCTACCCGTATCTACCCCGTTTTCCTTGGCATCCGTTTAGCGGCTACCCGCGGCTACCCGTCTTCGTTCTTGACAGTAATGTTGCATATTGGTGTCACAGACGCGGGGAAGATAAGTTTGCTGCCCTAAGCTACGACGTGCGTCTCTTGAGTCCGCGGGGTACTTGTGTTATTTCAATTATGGCGAGAGTATATTCTGGTAACTGGCTGCTGTGGTGTTTGCGTTTGTGTGTGTGCTTGTCTGTGTATGTTTGTTTGTTCGCTTGTGTGTATTGGTTTTTAGTTTTTAGTAAGAGTTTTACGGCACTTGCAACGCAATAAGTTTATATGAGTGCCGAAGATTAGAGGTGTTACAAGAGAGTAACAAACACAAAAAAAGAAGGAGGAGAGATCAGGATGATAGCTGTTTGATAGGAAAGAAGGAGCAAACCACTCCAGAGCACCCGCCAACCAACCACTATGTGTTTGTTTGTTTGTGTGTTTGTGTGTGTGTATATGTGTGCGTGTGTGTGTGTGTGTGTGTGTATGTGTGTGTGTGTGTGTGTGTGTGTGTGTCTGTGTGTGTGTGTGTGTGTTTGTTTGTTTGTACAAGCGTAAGTGAGTAAGACCATTGAGAAAAAGGTGCTTGAATAAGGAAAGATGTGGGGCAGGAGAGCCATAGGAAGACAAAGAATACCATGGAATGACAACATAAGAACATTGGCAAGCCTAAATATGGCAAAATGTGCAACAGCAGCTCGCGACCGTGAAGGTATGTGTATAGTATAAGGTTTTACGGCGCTCGCAACTGCTAAGGTCATATGAGCGCGCGAAACACAAGTTGTTCACCTTTGCAAAAAGCTCACTTCACGACTGGTGGCCGTGAAGGATGGGGGGTCATTACACGTCAACCTCTGAGTCAGAGACGGCAGCTCCAGTTAGTAAGTAAGTAAATAAGTAAGTATACTACAGCATTCATCTCGTTATAAGACTAGCATGACTCTCAAGTCGGGCGAATACGGAAGACTACGCTTATCATAACTTTTGATTGAATCATTTTCCATTTATGGGTCCAAAGTTGCGAGAAGGTTTAACGCCCTTTTCAACTCCGTAAGATTATTTAAGAAGCTGGACGTCATAATTTACCGCCCGTCTCCGTTTTAAGGATCAGCCTCGACAAAGACATTATGGTCTGTGGGTTGAACCTAACATCCCAACTACTTTCATAGTATCACTTCGATTCCGGGGTGGGGGAGAATTTTATCAAAGCTTCTCGGTCTTTCTGCAGGGATGTTGTATCCCTCTCAGCCCGGGTTGAGCTTGATAAATTAATATTGTCGAAGCTCGTTTCCCAATTAATGATCTGAACTGTGTCGACAAGGGCGTGAAAATGGCCCAGAAAACAAATAGTTACATCAATTTAATTTCCAACCCCTCCCCCCCTCATCCACCTTCCGTCTTCCCTCAGGCCGTAGTCTCTTTAGTTTTTGTATGAGTTTTACGGTACTTGTACCACAATCAGGTCATATTATAAGAGCCTTAAAAATAGAGGTGCTACTAGAGAGTAACATACAAAGAACTGGAAGAGAAGTAAGGACGAAAGATATTTC